ATGTGGGATTATATATATATATACTTTGCAGCCGCCCTCCACACTCAACATACATCTTTTTAATGATAATTTATGCACCCAGTGCAGTGTGTAAATCATCATTTTGTTCCTGGAGTTTGGCTTTAAGGAAGTAAATGTATTGTTTAAAAAAAACAATCTCTACAGTTTTGTGAGATGGAGGTGAGAGGTAGTTGTTTAAATAGGTGAAGGTCAGTTAAGTGAAAATAGAGGTTAATAAGACTTGAGAAAAAAGAAAATGAATGTAGACACATCATGTAAGGACTGGTGAGCTGCAATACATTACAGTTTTGTTTTTGGATATAGATACACTTTAATTCCACAAAAATATTACAGACTTTGCCAACTTTAAAGGAGAACTATGGGGTCAGTGCTTTACCGCATAGTTCTCCTGAGGGTAACAGGAGGACACAAACTAGCGTCCTCCCGTGACCCAAAGCTCAGTATATTCCGAGCTACAGCTCGCGGTATACTGAGATTGCCGCAGCCGGGACGGATCCCGACAGTACTGTTGAGATCCACCCAGCTGCGTGAGTGACAGCTGGCTCTGCCTATCTAGAGGCAGAGCCAGCTGTACCCGCCCCCTCCCCGTCTGTTCCGCCAGTCAGCGCTGGAGGATCGGAGGGGGGAATCCCTGCAGGGAGCCGTGAGTGACAGTTACGGCTCTCTGCAGGGAGATGATCGAGAAGCGAGCGACGGTATGCGTTTGCTCGGTTCCCGATCTATTGAGCCGACATGTGACAGTTTCATTGTCACACGTCAGCTCGGACTATGAAGATGAGTGATTTTCACTCACCTCATAGTTCTCCTTTTAACTGAATCTAAAGCACAGAACTTTTTTGTAGTTTTTCATGGAGTAGAGGAGAGTTACACCCTCTGTCAGGTTCTAAGCGCTTTTTGTGTCCCCAATGGGTACATTCACTCTCCCTATTTGATCTGGTGACTACTGTCACCGGGACTAAGGGTGAGGGAAAATGTCTAATGTTTGAGGTTTCATTAATGGAATTGGCTTCTGCCAAAAAGAGAAAGAAAAATCATATTTATGTTTCCACCCCCGGTTTAATAAAAGAACTCCAAGTTTTGGAAGAGTGCTGGTTTTGTCTGGGGGCCTCCAAATAAAGAAGAAATACTCACTTGATCCTGGTGACCGCTTACCACTATCCCTCTCCACTCCGGCTGTGATATCTCCATCGACGTCTGCACATCTAATACAGGTGATTGGACTGTATTAACCATGATAACGTCAGTGGGTCCTTAGACCTCCGCAGTCTGTGGGGGAGAAGCATCTGCGCGGACCGATGTAGCGGAACTGAGGATCGGGTATCTCTTCTTTAATTAAAACCCCCTAGAGAGAAACGAGAAGTTACCCCTTGCAGTGTGGGGGTAGCCATGCTGCAAGGGTTAACTTTTCTAAAACCTGGATTTCCTGCACTCTGGAGATTCCCCCTGACTTCCTGTTGTCAATGGTATGGGAAGTGAAGGGAAATCTCCCCAGTGAGAAATAAATGCTACCCCCCCCTTGTCTTCTCCAGAAACTACCACGGGATTAAAGTGGACCTCCACCCCCCACACATACACACTTTGAATTATCCTCCATCATCTATGGACTTTTCCCCAGTCATCTTCCAGGACAGCCCTCGAGATATAGGCTCCGCCTGCCTGCAACAGGAAACACATCAACCACATTAAATAAATAGACTCCTCCTTCCATCCCAAGTCAGTTTTTTTGTGTTTCCGCCGGCTACACAGGGACATCGTAATGTTTGTTGTTTTTAGGGCTCATGTTTGTTTGCCTTAGGGCTGAGCCTACCCTGCTATGCGTTGGGACCTACTCCAGGATTACTTTTTTCCTGGTAAACACATGCAGATCCCATTGTTTACTTGTCTCATGATGCATTAAATCCAACTGCCGTGGCTCTCTCTGCCCCGTACTGTTATAAGAGACACAATGATGGCGCCTCTAGCCCAGGTCCACCAGATTCAGCCCACCTAGTTTCAATGCTTTTTATAACTTCTAGTACGCTCGCTCACCTGTGCTTGTTTGTCCCCTACTTGCCATTTGTATTTTTTCATGCGCTCTATGGTACACATTACTGGTTGCTGTTCTTGGAGATGGATGTTTTTTTCTATTGTATGTTTTTTAAAGCTTCAGTAAAAATAATTGGTAATAAAAAAAAGCAGCACTTTAATTTTATATAGTTATCATTGTTGGCTGGCTTCTTCTTCATGTTTGCACCAGAGCTTATAGCTGCACAGACCCAGGAGCTGCTGCCTGCTAACAGCAGAACACCAGCTGGGAGGATTGTCTTCTACCTCTGTTTTTACAGTCAGTTTTTGGAGTATTCATGTATTTTTTAGCAGCCAGCTCCATTGACATCTAGAGAAGACCCTGAAAGGTAGGTGCCAGCTGTTGTTTTTAAAGAGCATTGGCTACTTGGCTCATGGGATTTGTCCAACCATGATATAAAAGCAATTTCTACAATTGTAAGTTTGTATATTGCTTTGTCATTTTATTGTAACATCTTGTTTGAGTCCTTTTAACAAACGCGTGTGTAGTGTTTTGGCATACCCTATGGGTAAGGTCAGTGATGCACTGCCAGTGTTCTTCAATTACATGGTACTATCCCTTTCTTCTTCTTGTACTTTGTTGGCAACATGCTGACTGTCTTTCTCTTTTTTATTTTTAAATGGCAGGATAGTTTTGTTGCATACTTCCCACCCATGAGTCACCATATTCTGTGACATCTTTGTAAGCTTAATGGTACTCTGCATATCGCCCTGTTTAATGCTACTAATATCTTTGCTTATAATGCTCTTGGGTTTTTTTTTTTTTTTACAGCTATCCACCTCTTGTTATGGAAAAAGCTCTAAATATGGCAGAAAATATAAAGGTCATTGATGCGCCGGTCCATGCAACACGTGATGAACTGGTTTCCAAGGTGAAGAAAAGAGGGATTACAAGTAGCAATGGTTAGCAGAACCTAGATGTACACTTTAGGCTTTACAGTTTAGTGTGTTACTGTATTTTATTATTTAGCATACAATTAACCATGTGTTCTATAAAAACTATAATGCCTTGTGCGTCTTTATACATTGAAATTGGTGGACACTTGTAGAATGCCTTGTGCGTCTTTATACATAGGAATTGGTGGACACTTGTAGAATGCCTTGTGCGTCTTTATACATGGGAATTGGTGGACACATGTAGAATGCTTTGTGCGTCTTTATACATAGGACTTTGTGGACACTTGATTTAAATTAAACATCAATTAATGAAATGTAAATGGTATTTACTACTTGCCTAGTTCCTGTGTATTTGTACAGTCAGAGTATCCATTGGGTCTCCTGAGAAGTGTTCAACTGTTGCATGTTGGTAGGCATACAGATACAACTCTGCTTTAAAAGAAAACTGTACTGAGAGAAATACATGATTGCTTTTGCTGGTCTCTCCTTCTGAAAATACCTGTCATGCTGATCTTGGCTTTAGTCCTTTCTGACAATGTCCAAAAGAAACTGTACACCACAGCGCTCGGCATAAAGGGTTTCTTCAACTTCAAAACGTTGAGGGAGAAGGCTGCCGTCTTCAAGGCCACTGGGAAGTATCCTCACCACACATGTAAAACAAATTGACAATCAGCGCCTTCTCCTAGTGTATTAATGTTTAATGGATAGAGCAATACAAAACATAAAAACTACTCGCATAGAGGACCCGTTTGACTTCCCTGCCTGACTACTACTGCTACTTTCTCTCATAAATACACACCATCATTCTTGGTGACTTTAACATTGCTAATAACACTAACACCCCGACTTCCTCTCAATTTCTTAATCTAACCTCTTCTTTTGATCTAACACTATAGCACACACTCTTACTCACTCTGGTAACATACTAGAAATGGTTTTCACCTACCTATGCACTCCCTGCAAACTCGCCAACACCCCTTTCCCCCTCTCGACCACAACCTTGTCAGTTTCACCCTCACCCTGTCCCCAACCCTGAATCCCCCTACACGGCACAATGTCACCCGGAGAAACCTTCACCACCTCGACCCTTTTCTCTGCGACAGACTCACTCTATCACAAAATCTCATCCCTGTCCTGCTCTGACCTGGCTATTTCTGTCTACAACAGATCACTCTCATCCTCCCTAGACACTCTGGCTCCCCTCACTACACGCAGACCTAGACCACGTCCACTACAACTGTGGCAAACAAAAGAAACCAGGTATTTAAAAAGACATAGCCGTGCTCTTGAACGACTGTGGCGGAAAACTAGGCTTCTGCAAGACTTCACCCTGTATAAAGCTGCCCTCCTAAAATATAATTAATTCCTGCTGCCAAACAGACTTATTTTGTCACTCTCATTAACACACTCTCATCCAGACCTTGTCCACTCTTTTCTACTTTTACCTCTCTACTATGTCCCCCACCACCACCACCCACTAACTCACTCACTGCCCAGGACATTGCCATTCACTTCAAAAACAAAATAGATACAATTCGGGATCAGATCGCCACTGTCCAGTCACCTTCCCCTATTTATGTACCAGACCCACCATCACACTTGTTACTTTCCTCTTTTCACCCTGTCACCACAGAGGAGGTTACAAAGCTTCTCTCTGACACCCACCTCACCACTTGCCCCCTGGACCCTGTTCCCTCACCACTAATCCGATCACCCTTTTGCTCTATAGTACACTCTCATACTCACATTTTCAATCTTTCCCTCTCTACTGGCATCTTTCCTTCCCTTCTAAAGCATGCACTAGTCACCCCAATACCCAAAAAACCCTCACTGGACCCCAACCAACCTCAACAATCTCAGACCAATCTCCTTACTCCCATTCATCTCCAAACTAGAACGCCTTATCTACAGCCGACCACCTCGCTGATAATCTCCTCAACCCCTTACAGTCTGGCTTTCGCCCCCTACACTCCACTGAAAGTGCCCTCCTAAAACTCACTAATAACTTACTAACAGCTAAATACAATGGTCACTACTCCTTACTCTTGCTATTAGACCTTTCTGCTGCTTTTGACACTGTTGACCACCCACTCCTCCTCAAAAAAAAAAAAAACTCTACTCGCTTGGCCTACAAGACTCTTCTCTCTCATGGTTCTCCTTCTACCTACAGTATCTAAGCGCTCCTTTAGTGTCACCTACCAATCTAATTCCTCACCTCCTCTTCCTCTTTCTGTAGGGGTCCCCCAATGCTCTGTCCTTGGACCCCTTCTATTCTCTATCTACACCTCCTCCCTTGGTCAGTTAATAACCTCTTAAACACAAAACAAAAAAAGCGCCTCCATTGTGTAAAACAGTTTTAATGAAGAAAAAGAACAGCTAAGATTGTACTTGCAAACGACTTTTAGATTCGAGCATGTAATACGACTTCTTGGGTAAATCAGGATGGAAAAACTAAAGCGTTAAAAAAACTAAAGCGTTAGTGCTACTCCGGAGCCTTCTAACTGCAGGTCTTCCACGGGTTGACGTGTTTCAGAGGCCACACCCCTTTCATCAGAACCTCAGGTTCCCACCTCCAGTGGGAGCTGCCTCATGAGTGTATCTGGGCGGTGTTCATGAATAGTCGCAGGTGTTGGCGCCGGTGAAATTTAAATTTTTAGTTAATAACCTCACATGGCTTCCGATACCATCTCTATGCCGATGACACTAAAATCTATTGTTCCACTCCACAACTCACCCCCTCAGTGTCCTTGTGTGTCACTAATCTACTATCCGACATATCCGTCTGGATGTCACAACACTTCTTAAAACTCAACTTTTCACAAACTGAACTCCTGATGTTTCCTTCCCCCCCAACCTTGGGGGTTGGGTGCACCTTCACCCAACCTTTCCCTTGAGATTAATAAAACAACTATCCAAACCTCCCCTCATGCCAAGGTCCTAGGTGACATCCTTGGCTCGGGCCTCAACTTTCTTCCCCACATCCAATCCCTATCCAAATCCTGCCGCCTTCACCTTCGCAACATCTCCAAAATACGCCCCTTCCTCACCAATGAAACTGCAAAATTACTCATCCATTCACTTGTTATCTCTCGTCTTGACTATTGCAAGCTCCCTCCTCATTGGCCTTCCACTACACAGGCTATCCCCCCTTCAGTCTATCATGAATGCTGCTGCTAGACTCATCCACCTAACCAAACGCTCAGTGTCTGCAACCACCCTCTGCCAATCCTTACACTGGCTTCCACTCGCCCAAAGGATAAAATTTAAAATATTAACAATCAGTTACAAAGCCATCCACAACTCCGCCCCCGGGTATATATATCTCAAACCTTGTCTCAAAGTATCATCCTAACCGTTCGCTCTTCCAAAGACCTCCTCCTTTCCAGCTCCCTCATCAATTCCTTCCATGCTCTCTCCTGGGACTTCTCTAGAGTCTCTCACATCCTCTGGAATTCTTTACCCCAACCGGGTCTGTCTATCTCCCACAGATGACTGCCTTTAGGCGATCCCTAAAGACTCCTCTTCGGGGAAGCCTATCCCACCTCAACCTGACCACGCAACCATCACATTCTCAAACAATTCATCCCCACACAGCTACCTCATGTATCACTTGCCCCTCCCTTTTACATTGTAAGCCCTCGGGCCCTCCTTACCATCTTGTCTTGAATTGTATTGTGATTGTAACATCTACCTTATATTGTAAAGCGCTGCGCAAACTGTTGGCGCAGGTCCCAGAGAAGACTGGCTAACCGACATGTTTAGTGGGAGCTCACCCTTAGAGCTCTGAGGAAGGGGAAAGCTCCCCTGAAATGCGTCAGTTGCTGGCCTTCTCTGGGACCTGCTTTGCGTCCTATTGCTTATTCCAATATACCTCGATGTGAGTAGTTTTTATGTTATTTTGTATTGCTCTATCCATTAAACGTGAATACACTATGCGCGGTTTTGTTTTCCATCCTTTCTGACAGTGACCTAGATTAAGTATCAGATCACTATTTCTTATATGTACTTTAGGTCAGTGACCCGAAGGATTAAAGCTGAAGGATTAGTGTGACAGCCAACTGGTGTTTTAAGAAGATGAGTAATGGCAGCTTGCTTATTTCTCTCAGCACCGGTGTCCTTTACTAGCAGTTAGGATAGCAGTCGGTAGGCGTGCAATGGTTCCCCATGTAAACCTGCAGTTTCAACACTTTCCGTTGGTGACGGGAACAAGATGGCTAATACTTTTCTCAGTCTATTTTTTATTGTCTTAAGCTGCTCACACACCTTTTACAATTTATCTGCAGATTTTCTGTGGTCAGATGGAAAAAGTGCAACAGATTGGCCCAGGTGGAGATTCCTCCATCCACACAGTTTAATGTAGATGGAGGAATCTGTTGCACATTTTCCATCTGACCACAGAAAATCTGCAGATAAATTGTAGGGTGTGTGGGCAGCTTTAGAATAGTGTAAGCATGCAAGATAATATATCTTTTATATTAGAAGGTCTGGAAGTACAGTTCATTAAAGAGGAACTCCAGGAAATGTAAAAATTAACCTCTGCAGTGGGGCTATGCTCGCTTTGAAAGGCTTAACAGCTTTGTTGGTTGTGTCTAGGGGCCGGAATAAAGAAATATAGTCACTTGATCCTCAGTCCAGCTTGGCTACTAGACCAGTCTCTGCAGCTTCTTCTCACCTGGGCTCTGGTGATCTAAGGACCCACAACGTCATCACATCTAATGAAGCTGCATTAAACGTGAGGACGCCGAGGGACATTCCACTGCACGAGTGGAGGGGGATATAGCTGAGTGCTCACTGCTGCAGGACCAAGGGTCAGGAGAGTATGTTTTGTTTATTTTAGCCTCTAGACTAAAATGAGCGGTTAACCCTTGCAGGTCGGGTGTAGCCTCACTGCAGGGGGTTAATTTTGACATTTCCTGGAGATCTTCTTTTATGAGCTTTACAGTCCACCAGTATTTAGATCCCACTTCCAATGATA